AGTCGTGAGCCTTCTTCATATCTACATTTTTATCGCCAGACTCGACCAAATTAAGAATCATAAGGTTCCTAGAGCGCCGAGCACGCTCATTCATCTCCGCTATTGCCACTTCGACTGTATTGGAACTATCACTGGACTTGACAGCATCAATCTTCTGCTCAACAGTTGTGATTCTAGATTCCACACTTTCAACACGGGGTTCGAGAGCTAAAAGGCCAGCTCGTATACCAGATACTTCAGTTTTTATATCAACAATATCCCTCGAGATTTCTTCAATTTTATTAACTTTATACGCTTATATTTGGTTAATATATAAGCGTAAGTATATGTTTTAACCCTCCAAGTGTCAACCGCCCGAAATCGGGCGGCTTTTTCGGACCGGGCGAGTGTCAACCGCCCGAAATCGGGCGGCTTTGCAGGCAGTCAGTTTCGTTCAATATACAGCCGTACGATCGATCGATGACGCTTGATACTTATACCAAACTGTTCTGCGGACATTAGGCTACATGACAACTATTTGGAAGTGCCGTTTCTTACGTTATTTTTATTAGTATATGTCGTTTACAAACAGCAGCTGTCAGCTGGCGTTGCAAATGGCGTACCTTTGTTGATGAACTGTGTTGTGAGTTGTAATAGTGGTAAAAATGGCAGAAGATCTCCGATCTAGTGACATTAGGGAACTTTTATCTGGTGAAATAAGTGACAGTGAAGGTGATAATTTTGAAGATGACTTCGATTTAGGACAACATGAATCCGACAATGAATCATTACTTGATTTCTCAAGTGGTAGTGGTAATGATTACGTTCCAGATTGGGAAGAGTTGGACACTTCTGATAGAGAACATGACGACGATCCTGATGATCCTGATCCTGTAAATATTGTAGATAGTAGTGTAAGTCAACCTAGTTGTAGTTCGCATGATACTGGTGCAAATGTCAGTAGGCCTAGGCCTAGGCCTAAAAAGTCTAAGGCAAAAAACCTGCTTTGGATCAGAGTCTACCCTCCTGAACCTGAGAAGGAGATTGAAAGCAAATTCACAAGAAGGAATACTGGAGCAAAGAATCTACCTCATAGAAATAGCAAACCTATAGAGTATTTTTACCTATTTTTCACACAAGCCATATGGAACATTATTTGTAGATGTACCAATGCATATGCAAATAAAAAGTTGAATGAAAATCCAAATCTATCGGCTACAGCTAGGATGAGAAAGTGGGTGAACTCCTCCATCTCAGAAATCAAAAAATGGTTCTCCCTTTTTATAAACATGGGGATTTTGAGGACCAAAAATGTAAAACATTACTGGGATACAAAGGAATCACAAAACGTTCCTTTTTTTAGTAAGGTCATGTCTTGTAACCGCTTCCTTCTCATAATGTCTAACCTACAACTGACATCAAGCAATGGTTATCCCAGAGGCCACCCTGACTTTGACCCTTGGTTCAAAGTCAGGTATGTATTAGACCATCTAAATAATGCCTTCAAGAAGCATTTTGAACCCGGACAAAACGTGTGCCTTGATGAAAGCCTCATCGGCATGAAAAATCGCTGCGCATTCATCCAATACCTACCGAAGAAGAAACATAAGCAATATGGAATAAAGAAGTTTGAAACATGCGATTCAGCAACAAACTACGTTATTTATATAGAAATGTACAGTGGAACAGACTTTCTACTTGACAAACCAGGCCCTTTTGTGCAAAAGGTTGTTATGGAAGTGATGGAGAAAAGTGGTTTGCTCGATAAGGGACATCACCTCTTCACAGACCAGTTTTATACAAAAGTTCCTCTGGCCCTAAATCTATTAGAAAGAAACACATACCTTAGTGGGACTATTTGGAAGAAATCCCAATACCTGGCCCAGACTCTGAAAACTACCGTCTTAGGGGTTCAAGAAAGCATCTATTTCCGACACAAAGATGTACTTTTAGTTTCCTATCGGCAAAAAGCTAAACGTAAACCTGTGTTTGCCCTCACAACAGCCTGTCATGCTGAGGACAAGCTTATAAGAAGTGTGAAAGGACAACAGGCAATAAAACCAATCCTTATTGACAAATACAATAAGCACATGGGGGGGGTGGACGTTAGTGACAAGTCGGTGTACCACCTCTCATGTAGCCGTCCTACCAGCAAATATTGGAAGAGGATATTTTATAATTTCCTTGACATTTCACTGTTCAACGCATATGTCCTCTACACTATGAACACAGACAAACCAATGAGCAGGAGAAATTTCTACATTGACATTGTCGAAGAACTTGCTCGGGGCAGTGACGTGGAACCAGTACCTGGCCCTTCCGGAGATACGGCTCACGAAATACAATTAATTCCGAATAAGTCAAACAGAATGTGTGCAGTGTGCCCCAGGAAAGCAACATACTGGTGTCCTGGGTGCAACTGTGGGGTGCACAAAGAATGTTTTCATAAACTAAGTCACTATTGGAGACCTAGCTCATCTCATAAGAGAAAGAAGACATCCCATCCCTAGAAACTTAGTGTTTTCCGCAATGTATATAGATCAGTTTTTTCTTCGCCATATGACAGTTTGTATAAAAGAAGTCCATATATGTGTATATATTCTTTTTTCTCATTAAATTTTGAACGATATGTATATTTTGATTTTGCTGTGTGGTGTGACAGACTTTGTTTGCAAAGCTCGTAACATGAAAAAGTAAATTTTTTTTTTTTGATCTTCCGGATTTGAACCCATGCTGGATTTTATCAACATAAGGTAAGGACACAAAATATTGCATGTTTGTATAGCCAGTTTTATTTACTTTTATAAAATATGCTACTTTATATGTGTATTTTAATTTTTTAATTTTTTGTGAATTTTTATGTAAAACTCCGCAAAAGTGACAAAAATCGCGTGACATTAACAAAAATTTGACATGACACCCGGAGGGTTAAGTGTTATAAGACGTCTCTTTATTTACTTTCCGCAAATTTAATAACACGTAGGTACAATGCTGATCAAGAAGTTATTTAGATATTTAACCTACAGTACAACATTCCTTTACTTATTGCTTAACTTATTTATTTTATAACTATTATCAGCTGGTTGTAATGTTTACTTTCTTCACTTTGTTTTTAATTTGTGTTGAATAAAGTTGGTTAAAACTGTACTTTGATGAATACATTTAATTTGTTCTAATAACATACAGAACAATTTGGTGACGGTGGAGTTGAGTAGGCCTACAAGTAATTCAAATACCTCTCAAAACATTCAACATTCAAATGATTAACTCAGCATTGATTGGACCCTTTAATGAAAGATGTGAAACTTGGGAAATGTATGGAAAGACTAGAGATATCATTTATTTATAACAACATTTCTGAAGATAAAAAGAAAATAACATTAGGCTACTTCACTGACGTTCAAAAAGAGCACATAAACCCGTGGATAGACTCAATTTATGAAGCTCACTTAAGAAGGGGAGGTGTTACATCCTAAATGTCTTCCTTTAAATTGCTTATTCATTTTATAACTATTATCAGCTGGTTATAATGTTTAAGTTTACTTCTTCACTTTGTTTTTAATTTGTGTTGAATAAATTTGGTTAAAACTGTAGGCCCTACTTTGATGAATAAGTTTACATTTAATTTGTTCGGTACTTTCCTGTTAAAGGGAACATTCATTATTATCGATGATTTTTTCTCGATATAGGTATCGATATTTTAATTTTCCGATCCATTAAGTTACAAATTGACAACTAACTGATCTTGTTTAGGCTAAAATCATTAACCCTTAGAGTGCCAGGCGAGAAATAAAAGTAACGCTCAAAAAATGCCAATGATTTTTCCCGAAGGTCGCGCTAAAAATGCCGAGCGCGATCTGGCGATTTTTAGGTTAAAATTTCGTAAAAATCGAATTTTCGATATTTCGACCAACGAAAATCGATGTATCGCATCTAGTAACTTTCGACTCAATGTTAATATATGGGTTAAAAGAATCCGAGTATCCATTCGGTTGTTATGACAACTGTTCGGTCATTACGAAACGTCCGGTCAGCCGGACGTTGGCACTTTTGGCTCGTTCTAAAAACGTCCGGTCGGCCGGACGTCGGCACTTTTGGCTCATTTTAAAAACGTCCGGTTCCCCGGACGTTGGCACTCAAAGGGTTAAAGCTAAAATATTCTAAGCTAACCTAACATAACCAACCAAACTTGCTGGACCATTTAAAAATGCCGTTTGGGTTTGATAATAGAAAAGGCAAGTTAAACACGGAATTTGTAAATGTTATAGCAAGTTTGGTTAGTTATGTTAGGTTATTTTTTTTAGAACAGTTTTATTTCATTATTGTTTGTTGATACTGAACAATATTTATCGCGTAGTTGTCAGCTGATATGTTTCAATTTGTTACTATCGATATATCGAGAAAAAATCATCGATAATAATGAATGTTCCCTTTAACAGGAAAGTACCATTTGTTCTAATAACATGGTACAGAACACTAAGGAACATGATTAAGTTACCCTAGAAAACATTACAGTAGGCCTAGGCCTTTTTTATTGTTAATTTACATTTAAACGTAGCCTACAGCTTCATTTTGATATTGGTAGGCTAGGCTAGCTACAAACTTTTGATCAAAGACTTACTTACAACTAGCCTAGTACAATAGGTACAATAGTGTCCTTAACTTAGTAAGGAGCTGGTAAACAAATGAGACTTGCTTCATTTATAAGGGCCTCTCTTTGGTATTGTTATAATTAATTATGATTGCATAATCAATAGACCTAGGCCTCTATGAGCTAATTTTTTATTGAACTTAAGCTTATTAGGTTTGGCCGTGGAATCTAAATATTATGTCCAATGACGGGAATAGCCTACAAATTCATTGTCACGACGTTGTTTACTAATACTTAGTACCCTTAGGACGTAGGCTAACATTATCATAGGCCTTCCGTACACTGACAACTTGGGACAACCACAATCAGATTGAGACCATGCCACCAGGATTCTAGCCTATATAACGGTAGCACACAAGCTAGATCAGACCTTAGAAGTAGAAGTTAAATCGATAACAAATTCATATTGAATGATTTTGCTTTTAATTTCCGCCCAGTGATCAAATTGTTAAATCAGACGATTCGCCAATAAACTTCCCAATTTACTAACTGACCTAACATTCCTAAGTAATATCACTTAAATATTCATTAAACTGAAGCAACAAGAAAACGTCAGCCTCTCACCTTTGTCAATGGCAAAAACAAAAGCATAAGGTTATTGGTTTATCACAGTTTTCTCACAACAACAAACAGCTAGTTACACCAACTCTCAACATGACACTCACTACTACTGCTACTGCTGCTCATCATAAGTCTAAGTCTAAGTCATAACACAACAGTCTACGTAAACAAAAACATTCTATTATGTCAAAGGTCGTGTTGGTGGTAAATAAAATCAATTATTACTGTAGATCAAGATCACGTGTGGTAAACAGGCTTTTGGGTATTTGACGCTCACAATGCTGCTGACATCAAACTTAGCATACTATAAAAAATATCATAATATGACTAATGATGACATGACCCTACGCTTTGGACCATCAAAATATATTTTTACCTCGTTTATCTTCGGTAGAAGCTGTTGGTGTAAAACAGCGCCTGTATTGGGCCAACTGTACAAACTGTATTGGGCCATTCTCGACAACCTAACTGCACGTCACTCCTTGGAGCAAGTAAATCACGTCAAGAACCATAGAAATGTTAGTCTGGATCTGGTCTTTACTAATCAGAGCCTTGTTTTGGTTGCTCCAGCAGAAGACGAAATTGCTAGGCCGGACATACATCACCCTCCATTGTCTTGGTCTCTTCATAATTGCCATACAACACAGATTCCACAATATAGCACCGTCCCCAACTTAAGAAAATGTAACCTTGAAGCTGCTTCACTCATGCTCGCTACAACCAGCTTTGAACACATATACAATCATTGTTCCGATGTTCAGGCAAATTTTAAGTGGTTGATCGATATGTTAGGAGACATCTGCGTTAAATGCAGCCCCTTAAAACGGATTGGGACCTCTCCATTTCCCAAGTGGTTTTCAAAAGACCTCATAAATCTTATTATAGAGAAGAAAAAAGCTCACCGGCGATACAAATCTACCCTGCAGCCTGCAGACTATCACACTTTCTCTGTACTGCGCACGTACTGCGTAACAACTGCAAGGCACTGAGTCGCACCTGCTACAGAAACTATCTCATCCATGTGGGTGATTCCATCCCAAATAATCCTAACAGCTTTTGGAGTTTCGTCCGTTCCACGAGGGATGCACCAACTTTTCCAACTCATGTCTCCTTAAACGGACACACGACAAGTGACTATAATGAGATGGCTAACATGTTCTCTGAATTCTTCGCCTCTGTTTTTTCCCAGCCTGTCGCAGCTGACCTTTTTTTTACATTTGAAAGCATCGTCAATTACGTTCACACCACCTGAAGTCATGGAAGCCCTCAAAAACTTGAATATTGAATAAAGGAGCAGGCCCTGATAACATCCCCCCTTCATTTCTAAAGTACTGTCGAACTACTCTTGCGAAATCCATTGACCTATCTCTTCAACTCCTCTATCCAAAAAGGAATTTTCCCACACGTACTAAAAGTTGGTCATATAGTCCCAATCCTTAAGAGTGGAAACCCCTCAGAAGTGATCAACTACAGGCCAATCAGTATACTTCCGTCAATCGGAAAGGTGTTTGAGATGCTGGTTTTGTCAAGATTCAAGCCATTTCTAAGGCCGCTTATTAGCCGCAGTCAGCATGGGTTCACTACTTCAAAGTCTACAGTTACCAACCTCCTACTTTTTGAAAATTATATCCTATCAGCCATGAAAAATGGGAGACAAATGGATGTCGCCTTCGTTGATTTTGCGAAAGCATTTGATAAAGTGGACCATGGTATACTCATTGCTAAACTCGAAGCCTATGGAGTTGTTGGGCCACTCCTTAACTGGATGAGGGACTATTTTACAGGACGCCGCCTGTGTGTTAAACTGCCTCACTCCAAGTCGCTAGAATTTGTCCAGACTTCAGGGGTCACACAAGGCTCTCTACTTGGTCCATACTTATTCATTGCGTTCATCAATGACCTTGTCGATGTACTGAGGGTGGACACACTGCTCTTTGCCGATGACGTTAAGATCTTTACAGAAGTGTCAAGCTATGAGGATGCTATGCGCTTGCAGACTGGCCTTACATCCATTAATGAGTGGTGCATTTCCAACAACATGTCCCTGAATATTGCCAAGTGCTCAATCATGACATTCGGCAGATTACGAGAACCGTACCACTTTCAGTATGCGATAGATGGTCAGTTGTTGAAACGAGTCTCAGTGGTCAAAGATTTGGGTGTTACTTTTGTGGCGGATCTTACCTTCGACAACCACATCCCAGACAGCACACTTTATCCCAGGGACATCCCATAGTAGTCCCATATGTCCTGAGAATGTCTCGGGATATGTACGCTATCCTCAGGATATCCCGCAAAATCCCGGGACGAGTACGAAATCCACAGGATATCCTACAATATACCGTAATGTCCAGGGATTTGTAAGTTAACCTCAGGATATCCTGTAAAGTCCCGGGATATGTACGAATGCCATAGGATATCCCAGAATGTCCCATGACATCCTGGGACATGTACAAAATCCACTGGATATCCTGTAATGTCCCGGTAACAAACTGAAGAAAAAAAATACTACCACTGATGAAATGTATATCTAAATTTAAATGTTCAACAAGGCCAATATATAATAATTTGTTTTTTTTCACTAGCGCTTTCAGAAACTTGGTTTCCATCTTCAGGCTGTGTTTACACTAGTACAAAAAGTAAATATTTACTTAATAAATTAATTTTAAACAAAGTTAAAACAGATGATTTAAAGGATATTGGAAATATAAAAATTAATCTTTTGAATTTTGGATATATTACATTGTTGTTCTTGATGTAATTATTTTCAGTAATTCCGAATTTATAATTGGGCCGTCTTAATTATTTAACAAATAATTTTGGTCTGTTTTTTTATTTTTTTATTTATTTTTTTATTTTTTTTTTTAATAAGATTCCCACGCAATAAGATGTTAAGGTTTTATAATTTGTATTAAAAGTTTACGGTTTCCCAGATTGAAAATATGTCTTGTTAATACTGTGGCTAGCAAGAGCTGACTTAACTTTACTGACATATTACTACCACTGAGTTCAGGAAAACTATAGTTCTATCATAGTTGTGTGAAATGTGAATTGAATTCTAACTTTAAATTAATAAAACCAAAAACTAATTTTAATCATATAACAATCAATTATAACAGTGCTAATCTAATGGTAATTAAATAATCTATATTCAAATACCAGTATCCTCTCCAACTACCAGAAAAACAATTCAACTACTTGAGGCCTAAACAGATTAACAGAATCATATTATATACTGTAGTATCAAAAATATTTTAAGTATTGCGACCATTGCAACTGTCGGCTACTCTCTCACCACTTGAAAACATCCATAATCATCAAGCGCAGATAGCTCAGGAGGTAAGGTAAGAGGCTCACAAGGCGAAGATACCAGGTTCGAGACCCGTCTGGGCCAAAAACTTTTTTCTCGTTTTTTCTTCAAAATTTGTGTTTATTAACTATTTAATCAATTTACTAAACTTATAATTAAGCTTTTCATACTAAATCTATATTATTTTGTTTGTGTTTTTTATGGTCAGGCCCAGACCACACTTTATCCCAGGGACATCCCATAGTAGTCCCATATGTCCTGAGAATGTCCTGAGGACTACCCTGGGATGACCTCGGATGTCCCACGGACATGCGTGTGAGCTTATCCGTAGGACATCCCCGGGCGGGGACATTACGCATTCCTGTGGATATCCTGAGATATCCCAAGTTGACCATAGGACCACTATGGGATATCTTGCATATCCTGTCGCAATATCCGTGGGATGTCCTGAGGAGAAAGTGTGCTGTCTGGGATTGACGATATATGTAGCAGAGCAAACCGGCTTCTGGGATTTCTCTTTCGATCGACCCGTGGACTGAGCAACACTTGGGCGCTTAGGACTCTGTTCTGCTCTCTTGTTCGCCAGCTGCTCGAATATGCCTGCCCAGTTTGGTCTCCTCATTTAATCGGCCAGATAAGCCAGCTTGAGAGCATCCAGAGGAAATTTTTGAGACTGGTTGGAGTTCGCCAGGGTCTACAGTATCGGGATGTGCCTGTGGCTCAAATGCAGGAAAACCTAAATCTCCATGATCTTCGGGCGAGGCGCTGTGCATCTGATATGGTCTTCCTCTCCAAGCTCGTAACCGGGTTGATTGATTGTCCTGCCTTGCTGTCTGAAGTAGACATTCGTGTTCCATCTGGTACAAGATCCCAGGATCTATTCGGAAGGAGGCACTATGCACGTGGATACCAGTACCATGGACCCCTTGCAAGGATGCTTCGAAATGGGAATGTCTTCTGTGCCACTTTCGACATATTCACAGACAGCCAAAAGACAATCCGGAAGAGGGTACTGGCTGACTTCCACCGCTCATCATAGTACCACCCAAAATCACGGTTATTATATTTGTTTCAAACCAATGAATGTTTTCTCTCTTTTTACAAATCTTGTTTTTTTTGTTATTGTTGAAATTATATTTACTGTTATTGTTGAAATTCATATATTTATTGTTATTGTTAAAACTCATATATTTATTGTTACGAGAGGTCGTCCAGTGGTCGAAACTCGACCAAAAATATGTAATGTACTCACTTCTCTATTTTCACCCCACACTGTAAATAAAACATGTGATTGGAGTTTCTTCCATTTGTTTTGATTTTCTGTTTATATTTCGTTGTTATTTCGTCACCAGCATGGCAACGCATAAAATCCATGTTAATTTTTTCAAACTTTCAAACTCATTTTTTGTGCTTATCTTTGAGCCTATTTAAATTTATAAAGGGATTCTGCACACCTACAGGAAAATTGCTTTCTAGCGGTATGCACAGATTTACCCCACGATGCACACAAGCTGAGAAAAAAGGTTTTAAAGAAACATGCTTGCCTATTAATATATAGATAGATTGTTTAAACTCATATATTTATTGTTTGTTGTTCATTTATATTTTCAC